TTTAACCCATTTAAAATTTACGTCAAATATTAAGAAAAACAAATTGATACATTTTTACATCTAGAACATTCCTATTTGAATAGAAACGAGTTTGATTAAAATAGCTTTCGTAAAGATTTATATGGACATCTTACAGTATAGTGAACTGCATAATTATGTTATCACACTCAAGGTCGTTTCCTTACGTTCTCGATAGTTTTCGTTTTTAATTGTCATCTCATTCATTTCCTTGTTATCATTCGGTTTCGATTTATCATTCTCCTTGTCTTCATCAACGAAGTTCCACGGCTGTATGTTGCCAGTGCCAAAAGCTATAAAGAATACTGCCGATATGATATAAACGGATGCGCCCACGAAGAATACTGGCCTCCATTGATCGAAACTATTCTGTAACGTGAAACATTTTAATATTAATTAAAATAACCCTCAGGTAGTACTAAGAGGCTGCTCATCGCAATATGCGTTCCAAATAGAATGGTGACATACACCATTATGTGATGTATTTTTTGAGATAGAATGCTAGCGCGCTCTAATATGTCCTTTAGAGCGCGCGCACACCTATGACAAAACTATCGCACAACTGATTAGTCTCGCTTTGATTCCCATATGCTTATATGGAGATGCACACACTAATTGAATTGGTTGCCGAACAATTGACAATCGCACATCAATTGTGCGATAGTTTAATAGTCTTGGGTGTGCGCCCCCTCTTATAGTTTAAAAATTATGAAAGGTGGTATTTACCCCGCTCCTTGTGAAGTAAGCAGTGATCATCGGTGTGAAAAACCCGGCTGTGCTACCCACGAAGTTTGCTATTCCGTACAAAGTTCCAGCGAAATTTGGTGCCAAATCTTGATGGTTCTGAAGGTTGGTTAGAGTAGCAGCTCCATTGAAACCCATAGACATAGTTATCATGGTCACAGACAATGCAGTGGAACAGCCAGTGTACACTAGCAGAATTAATAAAACTCCTGGTAGGATATGGGAAAATAAACAGAAGAATTTCCTTATAGCGGTTGTTGTCATTAACTTTTTGGAAAGTATACAATCGCCGACAGCTCCAAAGATAGTTGCAGAGAACAACCTCGCAAGGTACGGCAATGCAGATATTATTCCCGCTGCTGAGAGTTCGAAACCAAGAACACTGGATACGAACTTAGGCCCAACAGTCATTATGAAGTACAAGCCCCATAAGTTTCCGTAATGGAGGACTGTCATCGCTAAAAACGGAAATGACGTCACGATGCTCTTAAATGGCGGCAATCCCTGAAAAGATATTTTGTATATTATCATTATGTCATTAGCGCCGTGATATGTAAACTGTAGTTACAAAAAACATTATTTTTAGCAAACAAAAACACCGGCAGTAATCATTTAACGAAACGTTTATGTGAAAAAAAAGTAATGGCTTACGTATTTTTATTGTTACTAAAGTAATGAAATAATACAAATATAGCATTGCTTTATATTTAAAGGAAAAAATACAATAGTGTAATAATCACACCATTATGATAAAAGATATTTCCTAGAAGACAAAATTTATTCATATTGTGCCAATAAGGCCAAAAGCAAATCTAATTCGCACACAGTTCTTATTGCTAATTTGAATTCATTAACTTGAACTTATTAATGTTTAACTTAGTATGTTCGAGGACTAGTAGGCATTCATTTTAAACATACATTATGCAAATTAAGTAGAAACATGCTATAATACTAACTTGAAGATTTTATAATCAACCGA